ATCTCAGTCATCGTGGGAGTCACTTATAAAAAACTGCTCATTGTGTCCTGCCACCTGGAGCACAACCACTTTAAAAAGTGACAATGAAATTTATTTTAAACTCTTTATGAATCAGGGAAATCTCACTTGGCCAGAAGCTAGCAGTTTCTGTGAAAAAGAACGTGCTCAGTTACCATCACCCAATGTAGGGTTCCTGGACTGGGTATACCGTCAACACCTTTATTTTCACAAAGTTAGTGATGTCTGGATGGGCGTAAAGTGGATCCATGAAAGATTGCTTTACAATGGATCGGTTGATAACATCAACTGGCTGGCAGAGACGAACTATACAAAGAATTATGGCACACTGACTCAGACTGGCTGGATTCTTGAGGATGAAGAAATAACTAAGCAAAACATATTATGTCAACAAATAATGTCTCCTAAAAAAAGTATGCATCTACAAGTTCATAAACCAGCTAATGAGGTTTCACAAACAATGTGCATTGACGTGGATCCCGAGTCGCTACTAATAGACAGAGATGACAGGTACCTCCAGTGCTACGTCAACGGTAAATACACTAAGCATGAGCAGACGGAGGACTCAGGCTGCCAGTATGAGCTGAAAGTAAATAGCCAGGGCTTCTACCAGTGCCTGGCCTGGGCGCAGCCGCCCCTCACACTGGCATACTCCAATGTCATTCTTCACAGGGATCACAGAACATATACGTTTGTTGTGACACTTTCGCAGGACACTGGCTACGAACCAGAGTATCACGACAGCACCTTCAGGAAAAAGCAAAAACGTCAAAGCTCGCCAGAAACATGTACTGATGTTTTCATGGCAAGCTTGAAGAACATCAGATTGGCGAATCAGTTACGGTTTAACTCAAGAAATTTATTTTATCTTCCTGATCCAAATGATGGCAAACTTTTACATAACTTTCACCTTGAGTGTGAACTAAAGGAAACTGATTCAAATTTATTGGAAAAACAACTTTTTGAGACTCTCATTGAAATGCTTCCTAATGGCAAACAATTCTCAAACTGCACTTTGATGGGCATTCGGAGCACCGTAGGGTGTTCCGCAGACACTACACACAACTATGGCTTCAACTCTACTAGGAATCTCACATGGCCAGCAACCCAAGGAAATTCTGTTGTGATACCTAAAGAACTCTGCATAACATACGAGGGAGAGCCAGTCACGAGAGAGTGTTTGGGTAACTTTTATGAGGGCTACTACTGGAGTGTTGCGGGAAACTGTACAGGAGAGCCCTCACAGGTAACACAAAGACTCTGGGAAATCAATAGTGACCCAAAAAGATATTTAGAATTTCCTTCTAATTCATCTACATCATTGGCCGAACTCACTACTGACAGCTTGCAGTTACAACCCGTCGACATACATTTCATAGCTAAAACATTAGAGTCGTTTTCTAAAGTTGAAAGCCCTAGATGGCTTAGCTTAGATGAAATAGTAGAGACCATCAATAACGTAATGGGAGCCAATTCTTCAGTTTTCGAGCCAGTACAGATGAAACTTAATTCTTCTAGTACGCTTTTGGAAGCCTTTGAACAGCTGACATTCCAAGTGGAACTCCCAAGCAAAAAAGGAGACCAGATGAAGAACTCCTCAAGAAAGCTCATCTCAGTTGAGCGTCTTGATTTGGAGGTGAATTCAACGATTGTCGGGTACAAGTCCCGTGAGCAAGGGGAGGGTGATGGGCGGGTGGAGACCCTAGTAAAGGGTGTTGTCCAATCAGACCTGCTCGATGCTGAGGCCGCCATCATCCTCCCAAGCAACCTCACTTACACAGTTGCATCCAAGACAGCCAGAGAGGCTACAAACAGAGTTCGTGAGGATAAAAAGGTTTCAATGACTTTTGCTGTTTATAGAAATGAAAAATTATTTCAAGATAACATATCTCTTGTCAACTACACAGTCAATAGCCGAATTATTCAAGCTTCATTCAAAGGAGAGGCAGTTAGAAATTTGGAATACCCAATAAAAATTTACTTCAAGCCTCATTTGCCTGGTAATGATACCAAGTGTGTCTTCTGGGACTTCAAGAAGAATGAGGGTCGGGGAGGATGGTCTGAGGAAGGCTGCAGGCAGGGGGGACGCGTGGGCGACCACCACATCTGCCTCTGTACCCATCTTACCTGTTTTGCTCAGCTTATCAATTACGATAAAAACAGCAATTTCAACGATACTCACGAATTGATCCTGGATGCAATAACAATTATAGGATGCTGCTTATCCATTATAGGGCTTCTGCTGGTATTCACAACCTTCTTCCTGTTTAAGAAATGGCGACGTTCCCTGAGCAACAAGATCCTGGTTCACTTATCTTTCTCTGTATTCTGCAGTGTAGTAATTTTCCTGGCGGGCATCAACCAGACCTGGAATGATATATTGTGTCGGGGAGTGGCTGTCGGCCTCCACTACTTCCTACTCACTTCCTTTGCCTGGATGCTGGTGGAAGCTGTCCATCAGTACTTGAAGTTTGTCAAGGTTGTTGGAACATACATCCCAAGATTCCTATGGAAAGCCTCAGTTTGTGCATGGGGCATTCCACTTCTACCTATCCTGGTGGTGCTAGTGTACGACCCTTCCTTATACGACAGCAAGGAAGAATATACCAATGGAAAAATATGCTGGATGTCTGTTGATGGGTTCAAATATGCATTTTTACCTCCCCTGGTGGCGACAATGACAGCCAATTTAATTATCTTCAGTATGATCATCCACGGAGCAGTATGTGGTCGAGCCAGAGTCACCTCCACCATGCCTGAGAGAACATTGTTCATGAACCAATTCCGAATGGCCGTTTCTGTCTTTTTCTTGCTGGGTTTCACTTGGATATTTGGGTTATTAGCCGTCAGTCATGCTCGAACCGTGTTCTCTTATCTCTTTTGTATTTTCAATACTCTACAAGGGTTCTTCCTTTTCGTTTTCCACGTATTTCGAGAGCGTAGTGCTCGAAAGTACTGGAAAGACTTCCTTTCTGTGTTGACCCAAGATCCCGTGTCATCTACTCCCGGAAATTCAATGAACTTACCTCACTCGGGTCACTTCTGCGACCACCGAGACAGCGTTACTTTTGAAAAGTATGGCGGCATCCTGGTATTGCCTCAGGGTCTCGTCAGGCCACATCTGCGTCGCACTGTCAGGGGCAGTCTCCTTTCCGCCCGAACAGCTTCCACCTTGGTGCACTCCAGAGCAAGTTTCAGCCCCTGATCTGTTCAGCAGTGCCTTACGCTGATCAGATCAGGGGATTAAACTCTATCTTCTACGCTGCCGGTCAGTAACAGTTGTCACCTGACCATCCCTCGCATCAAGCCTCGAAGATACCTTAAATGAGAACCATCTACAAGGTGAAACGGTGTAAGGGATGCTACAACCAATGAATTCCTTTGGGTTAAGGTTGCTGTGAAGGTCTCGGCGAGGAGTGTGTATTTGTATACACATGAAGAACTGAATTCCATTACAGCAGTTACCCCCAACCACAAATAACAATAGAAACAAACATGTTACAGTTGAACACACAACCAGTTCTGTGTTAGTAAAATAATAATCAGTCTGTGAACTTGCACCTAGTGTGACTGTAGAGTGAAGAGAATAGGACCCATATAGTGTTGAGATGAGTAACACCCATGGCGACCGTGGGACCCCCATGGTGTGCAGGCGAGTGGGGCCCATAGTGTGATTTACAACTTACTGACTGGACTGTAACAGGTTACTCACTGAGCCATGACAAGTTCAATAATTGCCCGGAACGCTGTGCGTATTAGTGGCTTTAGGTATAGTATGTCCTAGCTCTATCTAGAAATCCAATGTTTGTAACTCATTTTGTAACTCATTAGTAACTGTTGTTACTGACTGTACTGTTAGTATCATGTTATTAATTGTACTGTGAGTAACATGTTACTGACTGAACTGTAACAAGTTTGACCGAACTGAGTAATAACTTGCTGACAGGATTACAAAGTTACACACAGGAAGTATTTAGTTAATAAAAACAGAGTAATGTCTAGTCTGTACTGGTAATTGACCACCGTACTTTGTATAATTATACTGTATTAGTTCCAGTTATAAGTAAATGCACGCACACACACACACACATTATATTATATTATATATATATATATATATATATATATATATATATATATATATATATATATATATATATATATATATATATATAATGTGTTCGTGCGCGCGTGTGTGTGTTTGCGTGCGTGCGTGTGTGTGTGTGTATGCGTGTGCATGTGTGCGTGCGTATTGTATATAATATTTATAAGTCACTGCCATAGGTTACTTACCATACTGAGAGGTTTCTCTCTCTAAGGGAAAAAGAGAAATACTCAAAGACAATGTATATATAAACACTTTAACCAAGAAGAAGAATGTTGGCATGGCATGAAGACGATGGTTCAAAACAATGATACTCACTATACCCTGATGACTACATATGATGAATACCGACTGAGGCCTTGTGGGAGATCGTCATCACTATATATATAATTAGTCACCCAAATCCTAAAGTGGGTAAATATGAGTCATGACAGGCCAATATGCATGCTTAAACATGTTTCATAATCTTACTGAACAAAAGTATTGACCATTCAGTTTTATGGCTGAAATGTATTTTGTGAAAAGATTCTTGACCCTCCTCTTCAGTTTATGAAATTACCTCTCCATCTCTTCCTCACATGTATCAATACACACATCCTCTCATTATGGAAGCAGTGTTGACTGCCAAGAAAGTATCCCTCTCACCTGACCCTCCTCCCACATGCCCACTCGGGGTCAGGCTGTACCAAAGAACGTGAGTGTGAGCTCTACTCACACAAGCTTGCCTTATACATTAAGCATTGTTTACTACTTATATATTTTGTAAATATTGCACTGTCTTCGTCTCATCCTGTTTTCACTATAATATTTTGAGGATACTTGGCAATTATTTGAAGCATAAACCTTCTCTACTCTTCCAAGAATCTCAAATATATTTGTAAATTATGAATCTTGCAATTTTACAGGAAAATGTCAAATATTTGTAAATACATCATTTACACATTTACGAAGTATTTTATTTCACGCAGTCCCATAAATTACTAAACAATACAACATATATGCCACACTTGATTGATGCCACAAGAGAGGCCTAGTATCAACCCTCATGCTCAGATAAATTAAATAAGAGATATACAACATAAGTAAAATTGATCTAAGATTTTAAAATACATTAAAGTTTTTGAGCAACATATGTCTCGCCGGTACAGAATATTTACAGTAATGTTCGGCAAATTATCAGTGATTTATTTTAACTACAGTTGTATGTCTGTTTTATGTAGTGTTACAGTCTGTAGGCTATTATTAGTATTGTAACTATTGTATTACAATTATTAGGCTATTATTAAAGAAATCTTGTTCTATTGTATTGCTACAATGCCTATTACTACAGTAGTCTTGTTGCTACTGTATTGCTAAAATGGCTATTACTACAGTTCTCTAGTTAGTACTGTATTACTATAATGACTATTACTACATTACTCTTGTTGCTACTGTATTGCTACAATGGCTATTACTGCAGTAATCTTGTTGCAACTGAATACCTACAATGGCTATTACTACAATACTCTTGTTGCTACTGTATTGATACAATGGCTATTACTACAGTGCTCTGTTGCTACTGTATTGCTACAATGGCTATTACTACAAAGCTCTGTTGCTAATGTATTGCTACAATAGCTATTGCTACAATACTCTTGTTGCTACAATGGTTATTACAACAATACTCTTGTTGCTACTGTATTGCTACAATAAATGGGCTACTACTAACAGTACTCTTGATATTAATGTATTTCTACAGCAAAGGGATGCTACAACAACTGGTACTATTGTATTGATACAACTGCTGCACTACAACGATGCAAATTTAAAAACTTATTTAATAAATAATATAATTACAGTAGTTAAATTAATAAATAATATTTATAATTAGCTAATTTCTTTTTACAAAGTTCAGGTACATTATTTAGACAAGAAAACAGTAAGGAATTACCAAAATGAAATTAGTAATAATAATAATACTGATCAACATCATTAAAATTATGTCACATTACAGCAGTGCTCATTATGACATTATATTTAATAAATCATCCGAGTCACTGTGAGACTCATCGAGTCCCATGGAGGTGAACAACTCATCTTCCCCAGGATGCAAGCCACAACAGTTGCCTAACTCCAGGGGACCAATTTCCTGCGAGGTGAAGAGGTGCATCAGGTGTAAGGAAACATGAACAAACAAGTCCTGTACGGGAATCCCAACTCTTCACCAACTTCCTTGAAATTTAGTCAATTCTGATTTTGAAAATTTATTCCAGCTTGACTGAACAAATATATCACAAAAATAGCTTAAATTTTAGGACAAATAACTTATGAAGCTTACCATTAATTAATGCCATAAATAGGCTAAACAAATTAACATATAACCCAGCAGTTGTAAGTACAACTGAGATTACAGCTGCTGGGCTACTGTTGTTACTACTGTGGTTACAACAGCTGGGCTACTGTTGTTACTGCTGTGGTTACAGCAGCTGGGCTACTGTTGTTACTACTGTGGTTACAGCTGCTGGGCTACTGTGGTTACTACTGTGGTTACAGCAGCTGGCCTACTGTTGCTACAATTGCTGGGCTACTGTGGTTACTACTGTGGTTACAGCTGTTGGGCTACTGTTGTTACTACTGTGGTTACAGCGATTGGGCTACTGTTGTTACTACTGTGATTAGAGCTGCTGGGCTACTGTTGTTACTACTGTGGTTACAGCTGTTGGGCTACTGTTGTTACTACTGTGATTACAGCTGTTGGGCTACTGTTGTTACTACTGTGATTACAGCTGCTGGGCTACTGTTGTTACAGCAGCTGGGCTACTGTTGTTACAGCTGTTGGGCTACTGTTGTTACTACTGTGGTTACAGCAGCTGGGCTACTGTTGTTACTACTGTGGTTACAGCTGCTGGGGTACTGTGGTTACAGCTGTTGGGCTACTGTTGTTACTACTGTGGTTACAGCTGTTGGGCTACTGTTGTTACAGCAGCTGGGCTACTGTTGTTACTACTGTGGTTACAGGTGTTGGGCTACTGTGGTTCCAGCTGTTGGGCTACTGTGGTTATTACTGTGGTTACAGCTGCTGAGCTACTGTTGTTACTACTGTGGTTACAGCTGCTGGGCCACTGTTGTTACTACTGTGGTTACAGCTGCTGGGCTACTGTTGTTACAGCAGCTGGGCTACTGTTGTTACTACTGTGGTTACAGCTGCTGGGCTACTGTTGTTACTACTGTGATTACAGCTGCTGAGCTACTGTGGTTACAGCTGCTGAGCTACTGTTGTTACTACTGTGGATACAGCTGCTGGGCTACTGTTGTTACTACTGTGGTTACAGCAGCTGAGCTACTGTGGTTACAGCTGCTGAGCTACTGTTGTTACTACTGTGGATACAGCTGCTGGGCTACTGTTGTTACTACTGTGGTTACAGCAGCTGAGCTACTGTGGTTACAGCTGCTGAGCTACTGTTGTTACTACTGTGGATACAGCTGCTGGGCTACTGTTGTTACTACTGTGGTTACAGCAGCTGAGCTACTGTGGTTACAGCAGCTGGGCTACTGTTGTTACTACTGTGGTTACAGCAGCTGGGCTACTGTTGTTACTACTGTGGTTACAGCAGCTGAGTTACTATTGTTACTACTGTCGTTACAGCAGCTGGGCTACTGTGGTTACAGCTACTGAGCTACTGTTGTTACTACTGTGGTTACAGCTGCTGAGCTACTGTTGTTACTACTGTGGTTACAGCTGCTGAGCTACTGTTGTTACTACTGTGGTTACAGCAGCTGGGCTACTGTTGTTACTACTGTGGTTACAGAAGCTGGGCTATTGTTGTTACTACTGTGGTTACAGCTGCTGGGCTACTGTTGTTACTACTGTGGTTACAGCAGCTGGGCTACTGTTGTTACTACTGTGGTTACAGCTACTGAGCTACTGTTGTTACTACTGTGGTTACAGCTGTTGGGCTACTGTTGTTACTACTGTGGTTACAGCTACTGAGCTACTGTTGTTACTACTGTGGTTACAGCAGCTGGGCTACTGTTGTTACTACTGTGGTTACAGAAGCTGGGCTATTGTTGTTACTACTGTGGTTACAGCTGCTGGGCTACTGTTGTTACTACTGTGGTTACAGCAGCTGGGCTACTGTTGTTACTACTGTGGTTACAGCTACTGAGCTACTGTTGTTACTACTGTGGTTACAGCAGCTGGGCTATTGTTGTTACTACAGTGGTTACAGCTGCTGGGCTACTGTTGTTACTACTGTGGTTACAGCTGCTGGGCTACTGTTATTACTACTGTGGTTACAGCTGCTGGGCTACTGTGGTTACAGCTGCTGGGCTACTGTTGTTACTACTGTGGTTACAGCTGCTGGGCTACTGTTATTACTACTGTGGTTACAGCTGCTGGGCTACTGTTGTTACTACTGTGGTTACAGCTGCTGGGCTTCTGTTATTACTACTGTGGTTACAGCAGCTGGGTTACTGTTGTTACTACAGTGGTTACAGCTGCTGGGCTACTGTGGTTACAGCTGCTGGGCTACTGTTGTTACTACTGTGGTTACAGCTGCTGGGCTTCTGTTATTACTACTGTGGTTACAGCTGCTGGACTACTGCTATTACAGCTGCCAGACTACTGTTGTTACAGCTGCTGGGCTACTGTTGTTACAGCTGCCGGACTATTGTTAATACTCATAATTGAGTCAAAGCTGACGATCAGGAAAGGGCGGGTGATCAAGATAGTAAATGGAGGAGAGAACGTAGTTCTCCACCCAGCCAGGCAGAACTAACCCTGTATATCACGGAAGATGAACAGGCACAAAACCGGAGTGACAACGAACAGAATAACCGCCACTCAACACATCAACCTCAGAACTGAGGTTGGGTAGCCGGCGCGAGGGTTCTGGGGCTCCCCCTTCCCCTTCCTGGGGAGGGGGGAGCTGAGCAGACAGTGGTGCGGCGGCGGTTGTGATGTCATGCTTGTTTGCTTTTTTTCAGGTTGAGTTCTACGTGATAGCTCAGTTTTTGGTAGCAATTTTAACCAGGTGAAGTTTGTTTTGGAATGCCTACCTATCTGGGTGCCTAACCCAGTAGATGGCAGACACAGAATGCCAAGAATATAGGCCAACTACATGGGGGTTTCTACAGGCCAATGCTCCTCATGCCTCCCTGAGGGGGGCCAGGTTTTGGCTTGTGGTCCCTGGTAGGCTAGAACTACAATCGAATTAACTGATGCCACGGTCTAATACATACATATCAGCCCAGTATAGCTCCAGGGAGCTGGAGGGGGCTCTCCACAGAAAATGGTAAAATTCAAATGCAGTCTAATAAAAATATATTATAATTGGCAGCTCAAAACTGCCACGGGCATGCAAGATAATTTTTAGAAGACCACTGCTAAATTGGGCACATGCTCTTAAAAAGGTTTGCCCTCCTGGCCTAGAGGAACATCAATAAGCATAACAGGTACACTCTCCTCCTGATTATGGTAAGCCAAATCTAAAACAAAATATATCATCTTCCTTTTACACGCCCAGATTACTTCTTGCAAGTGTGTACTGTAATTGGAGCCACTTCCATTTGGAACCTGTATACATGAAACCTGTTTCTTGTGCATTACCTAAAGTAGATACATTTTATTATAAATTATCTAACTCTTTGCAACTTAGACCATGCTTATCCAAGCAGCAACCGACCTCAAAAATGTATTAATAAATATTAGCGTATTTTGTATTCAAAATTAGTATTTTCTTGTCTAAATTAATATATATATTAGAATTTGTGTATAATTAGACAAAGGTCAAGTGTTTAGGTTCTGTTGGCAATTATATGCACTTGCTGTTCAAGGATGAAGCATTTAGAAACGTGCAATTTAAACAAGAGGTCATGGGTGAACGACGTTTAAGGAAGGTTTGAATGTCATTAGTGTCATCACATGTGTAAAGTGTTTACATTCATAAATAGAGGACTTGGCAGCCT